TAATTGCAAGGAGGATTTCATCATGAGCTGACATCGGTTAGAGAACCACTGGAAAACCTGGGAGTACTGGACAGCTGTTTCGTCCTAGTTTGTGACTATTCAGCAGTACGCGCCCACCGGGATTCAAACCCAGGACCTTCTGGTTACAAGGCGAGCTCGCGCTATGTCGTGAACTGCCAGAAGTTAGAATTCAAGGACCATTGGATCGGGTCTCAGTGGCTGAGTGGTCTACGAGCTCGCCTTGTAACCAGAAGGTCCTGGGTTCGAATCCCGGTGGGCGCGTACTGATGAAGAGTCCCAAACTAGGACGAAACAGCTGTCCAGTACTCCCAGGTTTTCCAATGGTTCTCTAACTGATGTCAGCTGATGATGAAATCCTCCTTGCAATAATGGAATTCTAGCTTTTCCCAAAAACAGTAGCACAGTAATTCAGATACATAATGAAATCAGAAAGGAAAATATAGATTTTCTTTAAATTCTTGGACCTTAGAAATAGCATACAAAGGATAAAAGATAGGAGAATAAATGCAGGTCATACGGTTGTTATTACCTGAAGGGATCCATCAGATATGTGACCTGTACAAGAAAGTTCTTATTTTTCACTAGATAATTATGAATTAAAATAACATTTCTTTTTTGAACTATGTTAGCATCTCTAAACCTACATACTATTCTTGAAAAATGATTATTTTTGTATGATAAAATTGATTGCTGATGAAGTTATCTAGCTTGCTGACGAATTATTCTCTAATAAATATTGAAGTATGACGCTGTACACTACTGCATGACTGATGTGAGTAGTTTGTCACGACCTAAATCAGACAGTAGTTCTCGCTAGCCATTCAGTCACACATTAGTTTATTGAGTCATGCATCTGTGCCTGCTTTCTTGATCACCATTTAAGGTATCAAATCGATCACATATTGTCATCTGAATATTTTTGATTTTCAAAGAAAACTGTGGTGAAATTTCACCTCGAAAAAGGAAAATTTCAGTTATATATTGAATTGTGATTGAAAATGAATATTCCTTGTTTTATCACGAGTGCTAGATTGCTTGTATTTCTGCACAGTTGTATTTTTTAGCATAAAAATTGCATGGATTTGAATGTATATTTGATTAGAAAGGGAAGTCAGATGAAAACTACAGCTACTTTTTTCAACCTCACTGGAAAAGTATTTCATTTAATTTGTACATTATCAAGTGATTTTTACTATGCACAAATTAGCTGAAGATAAACGAATTTTGTGCTTGGAAATTTATTAGTGAACCAATAGGTTATTGTCCAAAAAATCACATCTCCCTTATGTATGCAATAATCAATCATTGACTTCATTCAACAAGTTAGGAAATACACACACAACTCTGTATTGTTTACAGATACAATGAAAACATTAAGATGCATCGCTGATTTATCATTAAAATAAGCATGCTTCTTGTTCTTTTGTTATAAAGAAACGGACTACACTGAAAAGAGAAAGAACTTTTATTACAAGAATAAAACACTATTTTACATTATAAATTAAATTTAAGCATTTCAGAAGTTTTTTTTGCTTTCTCATATTCACAAGCTCCTATTCAAGAAAAACCACCCACTCTTGAAGAAAAACTTTTAAAATGCATTCACAACAAGTGCCTATGCGTAAATTAAAATCCCGTCATAAAGCAGACACGCTAACACTGTGTACCGTAGCATGCATGTTGATATACTCAGTCAGTTTCAACAGTGCATAGTACATGTAACATTTTAGTGGAATAAAATATTGTAAACATGTGTCTATTCCGAATGAAACGCAATTCTCACTACTCACAATAATAATATTAATAGCATTATAATTACCATTACTATTATCATTGATAATAACATGCAGGTGAATACATAAAATATTGTAATTTATTTTAATGCTGGGATTATAAATATTTTCTGTTTGTATGCATATGCACAAATATATTTACACTATATCGTGAAATTAATTAGGAATTTTTAAGAAACACGTTTCAACACGTAAAATAAGAGATACGACTCGACTGACAAGCATTTACTAATGTGATAATCTTAACTAATGGTTTCTCCTAATTTACACATGCATTGTTTTCAGGTTTTATCTTATGTGTAATTACAGTAATGGAGTGAAAAGATTTGAAGTAGCGGACAGCATAATGCACTGATGAGCAAAACATTGTCTTGAGGAGACTTTTTATTAAAGTACATCTATAAAACATAGCTTGGTGAGAGAATGCGAAGATAGAGAAACAAGTATAACTGTATAATTTTTATCAAAATTACAGCGGATTAGATAGAAACCAATAAAATATAGAACATGTATTAATAGTTAAAGTTAGGACAGGGAGAAAACCAGATGAAGTTTTTCATTAGACTTAGTCGCAGATCTACCAGGCGGATATGATCAAATTACGTAAAGGTGCGTCATTCCACTCATATTGTAAGATAAGTTCCTGATCATTCACCTTGGAAACATTATAGTATATGGTAACCAGTTATCTCCATCACAAAGCAACTCTAAGTTTAGGAATCAGATAATGCAAGATATATATGTATATATAGTGCGTGATGCATTTCACGAAGTTAATCGTGAATTTTTCCATCAAAGTTTACCATTCCAAAGCTGACGCCATGATGAAATGTGAGAATAAGATATGTTAGTCAATATTAGTCTTTCAAAGACAATCCTTTTTCTTCATAAAATTGAAATTACACGGCTGATTTAGGGGCACACATTAAATGCACCCAAATTGCTGTTGTTTCAAAGCAAATGCCAGTTCTCAGAGTGCAAGTGAAAGAAGTCTAAATTTAAATTTAAAAGGATTACAAACGAGTTATTCTACAAATACTATGGCATAGTGGTAAAATATGACGCGGATCAATGGCCACAACGAAACCTTCACTGTTCATTTATAAACACAGCCTCATAATGAATGATACATTTTGCAAGTTTTTTAAGATTTTGTATCTAATTCACATCGACAATTTCATCACAAGTATCTTCCAGAAATTCCTTTTTCTTCTGAAAAAAGAACTGCATATGATCACGTATCAAAACATCAGGATTAAATTAGTGAAACAAAGAACAGATAATTAAGGTGAAATAAGACTGTATTTTATTTGTTAGGCTTAAGATAAATGTTTTCTTCCAGATGGAGCTTATCAGCAATCTATACTTCTTTCGTAACAGATGGTCAAATCTTGACCAAATAGGAATCCTGAACTCGCAGTTTTAAACGCTTAAATGTGAACTATAAATCTAATGGGTTAAAATAGTCATTTGTTCTACAACCGTCAAAGGTTATTTTTATTATTAAATCGTCAATTTGGTATTGTGTTTTTTTGAAATGATACGATCGAGTTCGGGTTTCAGTCAGAGCATCAGTACTCATAGAAACAAATGCGTAAAGTTTCTAAAATCTTTTGTAAACAATTTAGTTGTTTGGCTTTTCGTTGGCAAAATCATCTCTCAGAAACGATCGGTGATGAAAGCAAATAATTCAGAGTAACAGAATGATAGTTTTCTCTACATTTCATCCTGATACTTTAAATATTCTATTTAGAGCTTTAGATTAGAAATAATCATCACCTTTATTAGAAAGAATGTCGGAATGACTGTAAAAAAAAGGGAAAATTACATCTATTTAACCGATATTCTTTTAGCACTGCTTACATAAATGCATTGGTATTCGGCCCCTACATCGTCGTGTTTAAATCAGTGGCTTGACTCCCATTGACAGTAATTTGTTTTTCAGCTTGGGAGAGATAAAAAACTACAAGTCACAATAACAAATTTGAAACAAGTGGAAGAAAACCACAGATGAGCACTGACCTACCTCATTGTCTAAATGAGCTGCCTGGCTGGCTGGATTCAACATAGAACTTGGCACCAAAGTGCAGCAGTTCGAGTTGCCACGTTCCAAAGAGCACACAAACGTAGACAAGAAAATGAGTGAAGAGAATCAATAGAGTTTTGACAAGTATAAGAGTGAAACAGAATGAGTAATGGTAGAAAGGAATATGAAAGATTAGAGAGACTGAATACATCTGCGCCATTGACAACGATTTTGAGCCATGTCACCTATTGTCTCCAGCCATTGATTCTTAGAGTCCCGAGGGCGGGCCCCAACCCGGAAGTCTGCATCTCCTTACCTGACTCACTTTAACTGTCAAGGATTTCATGGATTGATGCCATGTTTTTGTTTGGCCACCACTTACTCTTTTCCAACCTGCACCTATATCGGCTAGTAATGCCCGTCGGGGGAGGCGATGGTTAGGCATGTGCAGCACGTGACCTAGCCATCTCAATCTATGCAACTTTATAGCCTCTTCGATTGATTTTCCCTCTTTGCCTAACACTCTACGCCTAACGTCAACATTACTTACCTTATTATACCACCTAACGTGAGAAAGAGATGGTAGACATCTATGATCAAAAGCAGACAACCTTTTCATGTCTTCAAGTCTAAGTGAGCACTAACCAAACACCAAGCAATTTATTCCGGGGTATTCATATTCGTCAACAAGCAGGTTAACTTCCACTTATGTGATTAAAATAAACTGATTTTGATTTTCTTATTCTGTTGAGGTCATACTATTATGTGATAAATACAGAGTATCAAGGATTATAATCTCTACCACGATCATCCTACTTGACCTTACCTATCAGCATTTTTATTTAGATTGCACCTAAACTAACCTCAAAACTAGCAATCTGGTTCATTCACTTCGATAAATGCCAGGGATTTATTAACTAGATCGATTATCACCTGATATTGAATACTCACGCATCATTCAACCTAACAGGGACCAAATGTAACCTGTACAGCACAGTAATAAGTCTGATGACTTATATATGTCCAAACCAAGTTTACTTGTAACACTTTCTCTCAATGTTTGAAAGAGTTCTGAAAACAGAGACACGCAAATACAAAATGAAAATACAATGTATAGTCACGCACGATTGGTTCACTCATATGGTTCGACAAATGGTTCACTGCGTTCACATGGCATGTATCTTATAAGTAAAAGAAAGGAAAAGCCTCATATCACAATCATGAGGTATACATATTATTTTCGTAAATGTTACATTATACGTCATTATGACCAGATGATGAAAATCACTCAAATCATTCGTTCCCTCCTTTTGCTTTCAGAAACTATTCTGAGTTTTCGGCATATAACTGGGTGCTTACTCTCTTTGTTTGTCTGCCGTGGACTACATGTACAGTAGGAGTTTCCAAAACTCACCGACCAACACATATTCGATGAGCTATTATGAACGTCTTGAATTGTTTGCGCCTGCTTTTCCGTGTTATTGCACCGCAATCAGACCGCCACCACCATCACATCCGTCAGGTATTATTCACGGCGGTCAGTATATCAGCAAACAGTCGCCACACCAACCGTTCTATGTCAGTGCACGTATTACAACTAATGGGTCTTCTTTGATTGGACAGTCCAGTGGGGCACAAGCATCCAGTCCACAAATTTCGCCTCAGTCTATAGCGGTTACAGACTCAAATATAGCGCTACCTAGTCCCTTTGCTAAGTCCCAGCTCACATTACTGCAAACAGAACGTAGTCCACGTGCAACTCAGGAAACAAAGGCTCAGTTAGATGGTCAACCATCCCAGCCTAGTGGTGGAAGTAGTCCATCACTCGGCGTAATGCAATTTGCGCTAATCTATTGAATTTTAGTCTACCATCAATCACTATATTTAATACAGTCATAGCAATAGGCCCATGGTTGACTAGACGTGGTAGTACTGGCGGTAGTGTCACTGGATCATCAAATGTGGTAAATAACCTCACAACAACAGATACTGGCTAAAGCAATGATACACTTGAGATTCAAGTGTGTACGGAACTCTTCAATTCAGAAAATCTCTGCTTACCTATGTAGGGTTTAAGTCTACTGTTTGGTTTAGAAACCTGTCTGTCTTTGTTGGATTGTAGTGATGGAGTTCAGGTGTATCTAATCACCATATGAAATTTCACAATGGCTGCTTTTGGAGGTCATGATATTCTGGTTTCAATATCTGGATGCAAAAATCACGTACGTGTATATTATGTATCAAGGCTTAGAAGTAAAATTGTGAAAACTAAAGGGTTTGACAAAGGGAGTATGCAGGTTGGAGACTTGGTTATCCTAGTACCACACTTCACTGGTAGAAATCAATAGCCACTCTAGCTCGTACAACTGGTGCTGCCTAATAAACGAGTGGTTAGACGAGTTGTGAAGATAGATAAGGGAGTGATGGTAGGGATGTTAAGAAAGTTTGCCTTTAGGAAACCAGAGATGATTAGGTTCATTAGGGCGGTATCTACGCGTATCGGTGTAGGTCATGCTAGCCGACGGCAGTGCGTAATAGTTAAGCGTGTATTCTGCAAGGATTTCTTGCATTGGCATAGGGAGTTCACTCACATTGTCAGTGAATATCTTCTCCCTTTTTGGTGTTTCGTGTGTGTGCATGTTAAGTAATCAATAGTGTTGATGACTTAACACATTATTGTTAAAATATTATTATAGTGATTTATGCGAAAAGAAACCAACGTTCCTTACTACAAAAGTTTATATATTTCCCAATGAATGAAAAACAAAACGACAGTGCTTACATTGACGTTATGCTATTTAAAATTGATAGCTTTCACAAAGTATTAATAAAGCAGAATTTAAAAATTGAGAACCTCTGTATAAAAATAAATCATCGTCAATATTCAGTGGGTAATTTTTACAGCGTCACGTTGACCGTTTGGTAAAGAGAAAAAAACCAAGTGTACACTGTTGGATTTGATAAGCGTATAAAATTATAAAAGCAGCACCTGTTTGCATACTGAAATTGCTTATCACATTCGTGTTGATTTTGCCATTTCATGGGGAGGGGGATGTTGTAACTAGGTTAAATTCTGTTTAAGTCCCATCCTGTTCAGAAAATTTGGATTCCATTTGATATGAAGTGCTTCTGATGTCAGACGTTATTCGTGATTCCTGACACTTTTCTGGGTAATTTCAAAATTGTCAAAAACAGTTTTGTGACCTGATTCTATAGTGTGTAGACGACCTATGGCTGATGGTTTTTCAAGCTTTTCTAGTTCAGCTGGATTTCTCGGTGGTGGAACAGATGCTCTACGATGTCAATTTCTTCTGATTTTGATTTCTCAAGATGCTTGTCCGATGTGTATCGCATCATATTCCAGGCGTTTTATTTTGTAGACACAAGTAAACAGAGAATCCTCAGGGATTTGGTCTTTTACACGGACAAGGTTGCTTTGTAATATGTCTGATGTTTTGACGAAAACTCCGATGCTGTGTTTATTGAGTACTTTTTGGTATCGCCTGACGTTTCTGATCTATATGCAATGACAACTGTTGAGGCCCATGCCTTTGGAATACATTTTCGACCATATTTAATATCGATGTTGATTGTGTTGATGAAGTTCTTTGGGTAGTTATTTTTCTTGAGAGACTCAGCAATGTTCGATATTTCTTCTTCTTCCTTCTCACTCGTTATCAGAGAGTTTGCTCGCCTAAAAAGTCTTGAAACAACTGATACCTCTGCGCTGATGGGATGTGATGATCCGAAACTCAAATATTTGCTGGAATGGGTTTTCTTCCTGAGTATAGATATATTAAAATATGTTTTCCTTCCTCTTAACTAGGCAGTTTAGAAATGGTGGTTCACCGACGTTTGATTCTGCTCCCAAAGTAGACTGGATGTTAGGGGATAGACTGTTCACTTTCTTCAGAAATGTATTGTGTAGATCTGGTTTTAGCACAACAAAAGTATCATCAACGTATCTTAACCATATTTTAGGGATGAGTATGCTTTAGAAGATGTTATCTTCAAGTCTATTCATAGGAAGATCAGTGACTATTGGGGAAACTGGTGAAGCCCTGGTAACACCATTTGTGTGTCTATATAAATTTCCTTTCAGTATAAAAGAATTACTCTCTAGATAGAATTTTAAGCTCTTAATTATTTCACTGGTGTCCAGTGGACATCTTTGTGATAGCGTTTTATCTGATTCTAGTAAACTGGAAATGATATCAAGACTTTCGGTAATAGGGATACTAGTTACTTAGTTAATGAGTAAATACTTGATGAGACATGAATGTGCCTAAGTCTGCTTATGGATAGATAGAAGGTTTAGATAAAGCACAGACTCTTGTCAGTTATTTAGACGTCTAACGGTAAACATCGACCCATGTCTACCTCAGCTTTAGTATTTAGGCAGAGGATGTCAGAAGTTTGAAACACCAAGAATACTCATCGTTGCCATGGATGACAACTTTATACTCCGGAATGCTAATCAGTAAATCATATGAATGAGTTAAGCTGTAAAACCAGTGTCCAATAAAAGCCCGGATATAAACGGAGTTTATCACATTTTGCTTGTTATTTTGTCGGAATAGCCAATGTAGTGGTCAGGTATTATGTTTAAATATAAAATGGACATGGCACTTTCAACTTTGTAATTTGTATTAGTCTTGTACATGTGGTTTTTAATTTTTCCGCAGTAGAATGCCAGATTAAGCAACAATTGTCCTATGAAACAAATATGCTTCACATGGTAATGTAAGTGTAAATAGTCTTCCGTGTAAACAACATTCAATCCCCTTGAATCAGTATATATATATATATATATAAGTACCCGGTCACTTCGCTTTGTGAACACCTAGCTTATACAAAAAGTAAACATTGTAAAGGACATAATTTAAGCCTCAAATAGGCTAATTCAAGCATGCCATTCAGCTGTATTGTTATCCAAAAGTAGTAAAATTACTGTTGCATAAGATCTCCACTTTGATGCCTCATGGTTGGGAGCATTTATTGACAAAATTTTGTAGGAATTCTTCTTTCTAACTCAGTTCATGGAAAAAAATCAACCACTGGAATCCCACTTAACGAATTAAATTGTAATACGGACTTTAATGTGTTTAAACCACTCTTTGATTAATTCAGTATTAACGGTTTAAACATGTGTAAGATTGGATACGTTATCAAAACATTCATATTATGTGTGGTGCAACAATTCAATCTGTATATCTTTGGTCGGATATGCTTTCAAACAATACTAGAATGTTACTCTGTAAAATATAGGTTAACATTTATGAAGAATGTGAAAATGCTGTTCGCTCAAAATCTTGTTTTGATTTCAATATGGGGATATTTCATTTACCGAAAATGCTGTTCAGTAGAAGGAAGTCAGTGTATTTAATGGATTTTAAAAAATTAATTTGGTTATGTTCAAAAATGGAACTTTTACCTCAGTGATATTCAAACAAAAGTGTACATTTTTTCACAACTGAATCGGTTTACATGATATACTGTCAAACTCTTCACTTCTTGTTTACCTCATTTGTCTAGCTTTGATCATCTTTTGAATAGACGATGACTAAATTAAAAAGAAATCTAGACTTCTCATTCGTGATACATTTGCATAAGTCTCTCAGTGTTCATGATTAGTATTTTCGTTCGACTCGATATACCCTATCTACAGGTTGTAGAAATAAAATGAAATACAGCACACCTATTCACCTATATTTCAGTCGTCTCTAGTACTAATTTGAATATTTATCAGTAGAAGTTATTGTTAATGCGTGCTGAGTTTATTATTATTATTACTATTGTTTCCTTTAATTCCTAGAGGAACATAGGGTTTCAGCCGTGCGTCTCCATTGCATTCGGTTCTCTCCTAGAGTCTTCACCTGGCTCCAAGCCTGCCCACACGTTTTCATCTCCTCTTCACATGACCTCTTCCAAGTCACCCTTGGACAACCAACTCGCCACTACCCTTCCGGGTTCCACTCGAGCGATGGCTTGTCTAGTGATGTCACTTGATGGTTTCCTCAGAGTATGGCCAATCCATCTCCATTTCTTCCCGCCTATTTGTTTCACAATTGGTTCCTGGTTGGTTCGCTCCCAGAGATCTCTGTTGCTGATCTTTTCTGGCTGGCCATCTGATCTTGAGTATTGAGCGAAGACAGCTGTTAATGAAGGTCTGTAGCTTGTTTGAGATGCTCCGAGTTTATAACATTCAGTAATGACTGTGCAGTGAAAGCAAAATAATAAGATAAACATGATAAAATGGTGTACAACTCACAGTATAAATCTTGAGTATTCTATTAACTAATGACGATGACAGACTGAAATTTTCAAGTGGTGCTCATCTCTTAAGCTTTGCATGTTGACTATAAGGAGAAAGGAATATTTTTAAGTGCATCACGTGAAAGCTGGAACTGTTTATGAATGCTGAAGTTATGCAGGGAAATTCATATGCATACAAAGTGGATTATACATTTTGCAGTTGCATTGTAGTGGGTGACTAATAACATAAATCATACTACAGAGGGAATAGTTACCGAAATGGAAGCTTTCACACTGTCATTTTATAAATTGATGAAAATAAAAAACGTTGAAAAGTCTGTTTTAAATTCTTATAAAGTGAAATTAATAACAGGTATCCTGAAATCAAAATTATGAAATTCCTTTCTCAGTCATTCACCATGGCTTTGTAAGAACTCATTTGATTGGAAAGTAGATTTAGTCATGAACTATGGTCTATTAGAGAAGTGTTTAAAAACCACGTAGAACTAGATGACTATTACACCCTAGTTCTGAGTGCTTGAAACTCCACAGAAAGGAGTTCAGATTAGTAGACTGCATTCGTCTGATTATATTATCTGTTG